AAATAATTCTAAAAATTAATCTTGATTTTCTTTTTTAGAAATCTATTTATATGCCTTATTCTAGCAGTTTCCCTCCTTACAAACATATTTTTCATATTTTATATAATACTAAAAGATCTGTTTTTCTTTCTTCTGATCTCTTCTTGATTTCTTTAGTCTTTCTATATTAATATTCTGATTTAAATCAAATCGAAATACAGAAATAAAGAGGTCCTCTTCTCTTAAATCCTGCCTTTTTGCTAATTTTGTTGACTTTAGTATATAAAATGTACAAGAGTTTTTTGTTAGCGCTTTAGAATGAGTATAATACTTATATAAAGGCTCTAGTGCTTCTGGGGAAGGGGTTAACTAATGAATAGAGTTTTGAACTTTATTATTAGCTTTTAAAGAGGGTTTTTAACTAGCTTAGTAAGGTTAAGATTAATATTTCAGATAAGGTTTTTCTGTGATTTTTCGAGTGAAATCCTCTGAATCCAGATAAAATAAAAGATTAATAAGATCTTCTATATAGTTTCGATGCTGATTTGTGTCCTGGTTACCACTTTGAGTCGTTTTAGAGCCATTAATAACTAAATAAAGCTTATAGCTATTTGTAATAGCTAAATTAAGACACTAAAAAACTCCTAAAAGCAATTCTTTAAGATTTTGATAAAAATGAGTGGTAAAGGCGGCTTGGAGCTGATTTGCTTGATCTACTCCCCTTATATAATGATTATAATAATTAATAAATAAAGGGATAAGAAGAATTTTAGTCAGTTAGTCTCCTAAGGATTTTTGAGTAATTATTAAGTTTGAGGCTGATTTTTAGGGTCTTCTTTACTCATATATAGACTTAGACAGGACTAGACCCTGAACTGTACACATAATCAGATCTAGATAACGTAGTAATCAGAGGTGATCAAGATGAGCACTCATGAGCAATAATCAGAAGTGATCAGGGTGAGTACTTATAAGCAAAGATCAGAGGTGATTAGGATGATTAACTCTGAGACGAATCTTCTATAGTCTATATAAGCACGCTTATTTCTTAGATAGTTTTATAGCCTTTGTAGTCAACTCATATTATTAGCTTATATCTAAGTTGAAGACATCTTAGTATTATTCACTACACTTTCTGTTCTATCTAATCAACTCACTTAGACCTAATTAAGACTTGTCTTAACCAGTTGAGCTCTAATAGATAGCTAGACTAGACAAGCAATTTAATAATATTATTAAAGAGAAAGGATAAGGAATTATTACTATTTTGCAGTATATAACCTAGCCTCTTTTTAAGTCAGCATCTAATTCTTAATATAGCAGTCCTTTAGGCATTAATAAGACTCTGACAGCTAAAGCAGTAGCTGAAAAGCTTTGTCGGCTTTTATATTCTGTAAATAATACTTACTAATATGTCTCTAAGTATTGACTTAGAAGATATCTACTAATAAACTTAATGTCTAGCCTAATATTTTTGAAGAGCAGCTCTCCTGAATCTTTCAACTAGCCCATAAATAGCGCGTAGTACTTTTCTTAGATAAAGCTGATGTCTATTTAGAACAATAGGCAACGTAAGATATGTTACGTAATTCGCTTGTGTCTATATTTCTGAGAAATCTAGAGTACTATAAAGGGATTTTCTTTCTTATTACTAATTATATAAATGATTTCGATAAAGTAGTTTGCAGTAGGATTTATCTATTCTTAAAATATAATAACCTCAAAGTATAAGCTAAATAGAAGATCTAGGAAACTTTCCTGCAAGGTACAGATATAGTTGGCAGACCAGCGACAGTATCCCCTTCTGAGCTTGACAGATTGATTACTGTTGCTTCGAATAGCCGACAGGTATGTTAGCAAGCATCTTTTTATCTCTTCAGGATCGCTAAGGAACCCACAGATCAAAAATCTCGTGAGTCTAGCACACACTCTGGTATCAGTGGGCAACGTCTCAGTAGACTTTTCTTACCTCAAAACCGTAATAAAAGCGAACGGCCTGACAATTCTAGGTCAAGAAATAGAGTCGAATATTAATACTGATAACAGCAACAGCCTCTATAATTGAGGTTGGCCAGAAGTAAATATATAGTCAGGTAAAGGGTTAAATTAAACTCGCGTCTTAGTGACGTATACATATTCTCTATAAGCTTCACTGAATACTGTAAAAGTTTCTATTATCTGTTGACCTGTTACGCTTATCCCCGATTCTGCAGCCTAGACGACCGGCGCGTCTGGACCCGGGTGGCCGCCCTCTGCTCCGCCCGGTACTTCCTCACCAGCTTGGGATGCACCGATGCCTTGGGTAACCAGATCTTGGTAAGGGCGGTGACTTCATATCCCGATCCCCACTCGCCGACGACCTGGTGGACCTCGTATTCCTGGTCGCCCGGCGGTGATCGGTCGTCGTATGCGGGCCGCGGTTGATTTTCGGTGACTTCTGACGGGCGAAGGGAAGATCGGGCTCGTTTCGAGGACGGCGAGCCGTCGCCCTCAGTCTCGCCATCGTCCTCTGTGAAAACGTCAAAGACCTAATCGCTGCCACGGCCGTTGGGCTGACCTGATCCGCTCAGACTGCGACTTCGTTTACCAGAGGGGCTGGTGGTGGGATCTCCTTGCATCTCCTCATCCCACGTGGCCGCACTATCGCTCTCGGGGATTTCGGGAGAGAACGGACCGGATGTAGCGATCGCTGAACGACATCACCTTGTGACATTGCTGTACTCTCTGGGTCGGAGTCGGCCACGCCCTTACTTGTGTGAGCAGCGCCACCGGTGTCCTTATCTGTATTCTTACATCTTATTACTAGGTCGTCGATGGTCATCAGAGGTAAGGTGTAATTGGATCGAGCCGTCAGATCGCTATTATTGTTGTCGTCGTTGTCGTCGTTATCAATGATAATAGGATTCTCTGTCAATCATCAGCTTATAGCTAAAGTAAAATCAAGGATCATCGGCTTACCCTGACTATTTTTATTATTAGCCTTAGTCTGAATTTTAGGGCTTGATACTTACGCAGGCGGATATTGAAAGAGCGACTATTTAGGGACATTCTTAAATAGGTGTCTCTGCAGAGTAGACGTGAGGCCTAAAGGAGTCGACTCTAAACTTCTGACTATTTAGACAGACAGGTTAAAGAAATAAGAGCAGGAAGGGTTTCTAGAGGGGTTTATTATAAGTAAAAGGAGCTTTTGTAGTAAAGGAAGCTTATAGTCGCTGCTTTTATCCTCGTCTACGTTATTAGCCTCTAAGACACGTTAGACATAATCAACACTATATCTAAGTATAACAAGTACCTTAAAGTTATAAAACATTATTTAACAGATTACTCTGATTAAGAATAGATAATTCTCTAAGGGCTAGATTACTTAAGGACAAGGTCCAGAATTTGTAGGTAAGAAGCAGTCTGTTATAAGGAAACAGACTATACTTTCTAGAGTGTAATTAGTAAGAGAGAACTTCTATTATTGTGGTAGGGTTGCTTATGTGTAACAGAAAATATAAATACTATAAAAGGAAAAAAGTAGATGTGTGCCCTTCTGATCTTAAAGAGAAAAAGCTGCTAGATTTAAGAAAAAGGAAAGGACCAGGTTTTTACACATGAGCTGCTCTAGTCCTCTGCCGAATTTATAGTAGTTATAACTGCCTAACATATCTATTACTCTGTACATTACAATCAGGATTACTGCTAGACGACTTACTAATACTCCTTACTCAGCCTTAGCAGTCGTGCTACAGCTCTCCCCTTCTTTGTAGATGTCCTTGTCTTAATTGCCCTTTTCTACGGAACTTATAGGTCTATCATCAAAAGCGGTGCTCTAGTAATATCTATTCACTCTGAACTAACGTTTTACATAATGCCTACTATACTGACCTTTCCTGTAAGCTTACAGCTAATCCCCTATCCATATATAACTATAAAGCGCTATGTAGTCAGTCACATATAATATAGATGCCACAGATTGCATAATAAAGAAGCGGAACCTTGCTAATCTCTTGAGCTCGCATTCTGGCAGGCCTGTCCCTTATAACCGCCTAAAAGCAATACTATAAGGTAATTGATATTTATTTATGATGTTATTATCTGTAAAGAGCTAATTAGAAATATGACTTTATAAAGATGATAAGATAACAGGAGTATAATTATAATAGCTTGCCCTGTATAAACCTCTAACCAAGAAAATATCTAGATTTAAGGCTGATATTTAAGGTAATAAGATTAGAGCAGTATAGTAGATTTTAACGCAAGCCTGCAAGGCATTTTACCCACGACTATATCACGCGCCTATACAGGCTTCTGACCGCTTAAGGGCCTGAATTCTAATAATAAGAGAAAACAAGCAAGGCAGATCACAAGACGGCCTTATTAAGGTATTTTGCCTATTAGCTGCGTCGCTCCCTTAGCTAGACGAGATCTCATGCAGCCCTATTCGAATCCACCGTCAAGGCAGGCTCTAATGTTCGATAGGCTTCCCATTAGACATAGAGGCATTCTCAGGTGACGTGGCGCGGTACCCACCTCCTGTATATCTCACCCGATATTTTCTAGACCTGCTTTGTTGCTGCTACGCTGCTCTTAAGTAACGTAGCTAGCATTGCGCCATTTTTACTATTAGTCCTGTTGTAGCATTGTGTCAGCCAACACAGGATCTCTAAGGGTTGACACGTCACGATCGCTGAAGAGGAGGAGAGGCAGGCGACGCGGGATCCTATTACGGTGATGCCGGTGCCTTAGGCAAGGGAGATGTTAGTCGAGGGGTCTATAAAGAGGTGAGATTCTAAGGAAAGGATGCTGATATCAAGGCAGATTTCAAGGCGGCCTTGTTAAGGTATTTTTCCTACTGGCTCTGTCTCACCCTTAGCTGGACAGGATCTCATGCAGCCCCTGTCAGAATCCACCGCTGAGGCAGACTCTAATGTCTAAGCGACTTCTAATTAGACACGGGATATTCTCGGGTGATGTGACACGCTGACTGTCTCCTGCATGTCGCCGGCTGTGCTCTGAGACTGTTTTTAGATGCTGCTGCGCTGCTGTTGAGTGACATAGCCGGTAATGCGGCATTTTTATTATTGGCCCTGTCGCAGCATCATTTCAATTAACAAGGGGTCTCTAAGGGACGACACGTCACGATCGTCAATAGAGAGGGGGAGGTAGAGGGGCTGGCGGTATAGTATCCAAGCGTGTTGTTGCTAATGCCCCAAACAAGGAATTGTTAGTTGAAAGACCAATGAAGAGGTGAGGGAAGTAGACGTAAAATCGGTTGGGGCGGTATGGCATGAACAGCTAGCCGCCCGGTCTAGTAGAACGGACTTTACATCGACGTCGCCCGTCCACGATCGGGCCAACAGTTGGATCGACCGGTCGAGGGAAGAATCAACTGAGAGCACGAGACAGCCCGCAGGATGGTTGGGTCGAGGCAGGGGCAGGGTTGCATGGAGGACGCCGTCAGCGCCCAGCGCTACAGGGGCTGAGGCGGCGGCGCAGCAGGCAGAAAGGGAAGGCCATCCGCGAGGGAAGCGAGAGAGGGGGAAAGGAGTAGCAGACAGAAAAGAAGGGACGACGGAGGAGAACGAGGAGCTGCGGGCTCTTTATACCCGGGCCAAGCGGCGAGAGGGCGCGTTCCCCAATCGGGCGGGGCTAAACCCGAAGAGGCAACGCACCGGCATCTAGACTACAAAACTACGTTTCGTAAAACAGTAACGTATAACAGATTAAGTAACGGTGAACTCAAGGATTATAGATATTTGGGTCCATGACGTACGTCGATTGGCCTTTTGTTGTACACATCCAAGTAACAAGAGTATTAATTCCCTTTTGAGTAAGTAATCCGGGTCTACCAGACCTCTTTTTAGACGTAAGTCAATTTAGAACAGCATATTAAATTTGACGAAGAGTAAAGCCAAGTCGTTCGCGAATTTGGGTATACGTCAAGCCTACGTCATAAAAAGTTTGAACTTGTAGACGTTGATCTCTTGATGTATCCCTTATAGGAGTAGAAGGAGGAGTAGGACGAGGAGAAGAAGGAGTAAGGGTAGAGGAGCTATTAGAGCTATTAGCAGAATCCATAGAATGAGTAGAGAAGCAAAATTAGCTTAATCTCTTGAATTGAGTCCAATTGAGTAGAATTTACAGAATATATAGGATTTGTAAGAGATTATAGAAGTTGTACGAATCTTCTCAAATTCAATAGAACGCGTAGAGTCAGCAGCGACGCGTAGAATTGGTAATGAGCGCGTTTCGTAAGAATTTTAGCACGAAAAAGTCACGTGCAATGGTGCACTTTCAGAATTACGCTAACTCTGAAGTGCCCGCACCGATGGTTTAGTACCAGTGGCAACCTCGTCTACAATTGTCTGACATGCTATGTTGTTTACTATTTAGTTGAGACAAGTCACACCAACTCAGATGGCTGATCCTATTGATCGCGTAAACAGTTTGCCCCAATGTTCCTTGTGAGGTGACGCTAATCACTATAGATCTATGCAAATCTTCGTGACGAACTAGCATGCGCAGTGTCACAGCTGCTTCAACAGGCATTAATTAAACCACAGCACCTCAGAAATCAAAACGCAACTTTCATTGCTCAGATAAAAGCGTCCGAAGTATTTGTGCTGAGACACTACAACCATACCTCTACTCCTTCGCCGGTTGAGGCCCAGAACGCAGACTGTGAGCTGGCTCGTCCACCTGCTCCTAATGTGTCAGACGCTTTTTCATATCTAGCAAATCAAAATAGCACTGATCGGCATCCCCAATTTACGGCCTCTGTAGACCGCGGCATGGGATCATACCCAACGCATTATGTCGATGGGCCAAACGACGAATCTCCCCTAGGGTTTCCGCTAAGCAGCTCAGGCTCGCCTCTTACGTTATTGAGTCCTACCAATTCCGGCCAGTCCAGTCACGAAGACGGACTGTGTGTGCGCTCTAGTCCTCCTTCACCTCCACTACCTGAGGATGTACCAGAGGATGTTCTCATTGGCAAAGAGAATGCACTATGCAATCAACAACAATTCATGTGCGAGGAAGAAAACGAAAATGCTGAAGATGTTGCTTTTTCTTTAAGAACAACTACTGGCAGGCATATCGTGGGGAAAGGGAAAGGATAGGACAACGACGCACCGCTCCTGCCCGATCAAATCTTCCTAGTTCATGCAATAATGCAGGAATCCTGCACGACCATGAAATTAAAGGCACTGGACAGCCTGCGGTCAGCCCCAAGCGTCCCGAAACCAGCAGGTACGCTGATAAGGGTACTAGAATCGAGGAAGACCGGACACAGACGGCAGAAATAGAGCATCCGCAGAGTGACTTGACGACTCTTTTATATACGCCGGACATAGTAAACAGCGCGCAAGAGTCTGCTTCAAGCAATACATCCGTACAAGCTGAAGTCGGTGCAAAGGACGCAGGGCATAGAGAAGATGTGTCGCAGGTACGGGCATCTTTCGGAATCGAGACGAGGTCAAAAACAAAGACAAGTCAAACCGAGATAGCTCCGAATACAGCCAATATGCCTTCACGCACCGACAGGACTGCATTTATAAACCGAACGAGGTCAGCCTCAAGGAAAAAGACGACGCTAGCCGATCACACAGATGAGCAGGAGAGTGATTGCGACGCTGTTCCGGCAGGCACAGAAAGGGGCCTTGTCGTGAAGGGTCCTGACATCCTTGGAAACATGTGGGATAAGGCCGGTCGCGCTGGACGCGTGGAGGTGATGAGAGAGGTATTGTATGACATGATCAGTGCTCTGCGGGCCCGTCAGAAATACGAGGCGCCAAGACCCAGCCTCATACCGCACGGTATTGCACCGAGCTGTTTCCAAGGCGAGGTGGGTTTCTCCGGATTGGCTGGCAGGTTCCAAGCTCTCAGAGAAGAATTGGAAATAAGTAACGCTGGTGAACAACTGTATAGGTTGCGTAGGCGAGTCGCTCTTGCGCAGTTCTACAACGACTATACCCATGCCCAGGCTGATCCGTACGCATTTCTGTACCCAGAACGAAATGAAGAGCTCTCACTTGAATCTTTAAAACCGACTCGGAAGCGGAAGAGGACATCATGGTCCAATGTGGCGAAGAGGCGCCGCGTTAGGCTTTCAACCTTGATACATAATCGTGTTGTCGACCTGATGTTCCCCGGACTGATCCTGAGCGATGAGAACATCGACACCGAAGAAGGCAGGACCGAGGAAGACAGGGCCGAGCGAGCAGAAAAAGTGGCGAAGAGACAAGCTGCCAGCCAAAAAGTTCAGAATTGGAGAGCAAATGGCAAGCCATGGTCTGCGCTGACCAGACGCTTCGATTGGGGGATTCTACTACTCCTTCCAACAGATCTTTTGGACCAGAAGTAAGGAAAAACAGGAATCCTCCTGGCAGAGTTCCTTACAACCGAGAGTATTCATCTCAGTCACAGCTCCAGCTAACACAGTTTTTATTCTAGTCTAAGAATGATGAAGGAGGCCACGTTGTCTTGCTTCTTCGATGCCCTCGACTTCTTTTTCACGGATTCCGGCCGTTTGTTGCCAAATGCGACAGCACTCGTGCCGGCACTTTTATCAGAGCAGCCTCCGTCTAAGAAACTGAGACTAGAGTACGAATTACCGAGATATGGAAGAACTGACGAGGACAACCATCAATATTTTGGTGAGTTGCTGGAGCCCTGTGAGATAACTTCCTGCAGCAATGAAGAGTTGCGGCATTCAACTCCTCATTCTCCTACGGAGCAAATCGATCGGCAATTGCCTTGTTCAGATCTCCGTCTTCGGCCGAACTCCGGCCGAGAGACGTCCCCACGTTGCAGCGCGGTGGTTTCTCCGCATGTCGAAGCAAGCGATTCATCGAAAGTGAAGACCACTGTGATCGTTGTTGATAGCCTCCCTTCAAACGTCCAAGGACAGTCTGGAAATTCTATCCTCACTCGGAACATCGCGTTTGGTGACAAGTTCGTGAGTCCACATCACTTTGAGGACGCTTTATATGGTACTTCTATAAATACGCCGGATACGAGCTTCAACCATGACGTCGAATTGGCGGACGTCTGAGGGACGGTTGTCGCTGGTTCTGATGATACCGGTGAGTTCGACTGTGATCAATTCCTTTCTGAGAGCCTTACCGAGATATCGACCATAAAGAAGGCTCTAGCAACTTGACTGCCCTGTCTCATTTGTCGTAAATGATGGGACGATCTGTGAGTAAATCACAAATGACCGTAGAAACCTTCACATTGTTACGTATCACATGCTATAGTTCTATAGAGTTTAGACAGCTTGGAATTATTAATTACGTGGTGTTCAATTGAAACTTCATCCTGTACTACAAGCGTCCTGTAGTGGCCTACTTGAAAAGTATAATAACCTCGGGCTCGCGATGATCATCACTCCGCATGTCAAGGACGAAGGAAAATCTTGTGGTCGCGTGCACAATGCGCCTTGAAAGCCATCACACGCCGCGACACCAACCCTCCTGCTCTGCAGACATGATGCGGGCAGGAACTGGGTCGTCCGGTGCAAAGTACTGTAGAAACTCCTTCTCCACGTGGTTCCACATCTTGTTGACCTTGCTGTATTCGAAAGTCCTTTCCGTGTAGGACTTGGATTCGTTGCCGAGACAGCAGATACACTGCTTCGGCTTCCCTTCAACAGGGATGTGCTTGCTTGCTTTGGGTGCTGACATGTCAACCGGCCCGAAGCTTGGCGCCAAAATTTATGGCAGTTAAGGATCCTCCTCCTCTACACCCCCTGCCTTCTACTACTTACTATTCCACCACCGCAAGTCAGAATCAACTCCAAAATGGCTAGAGAGCTCCCCCGTCGCCGCCGTGCCCCTGCAGATGGCGTTTGTTCGAATCCTCTCTCTCCTCAGGCTCCCAGGGCCCCCCAAACGATGCTTGATACACTGCGCTGTGCGCGCCTTCTTGCTGACGCACGTCTTATAGCTGGCAAATTACCTTGTACATAGCTATTTAAGATATATAATGTAGCTAATTGAACTGGCTATTAAGTTATTAAAGAAGGAACTGTGCGCTATAGCAAAAGGGTATATAATTGTGGCTAAAAACTAGTTCTTGCTCCTTATTAATATAAAGTAATTAAGGTAGTTAAAGATATAAATTTTAGCTTTATATTATTAAGTTACTTTAAGGTAGCACAAATTATTAGCTTAGCTAAAAGCTTTAAATATATAATTTAAAGAAATATAACTAATTCTAATATAAAAATATATTATCCCTTGTGACCCCGATTAACCC